AAGTTCGCTGTGGACATCAATATTCAAGCATTCAAATTTCACACTCCCTGTTATTGTAAGGCATTTTTCTTATTATTGTCGTTTCCATATGAACATATCTGTATATATGTGTGTGTGTATTTCTGAGTTCCTTACCGTTTCTGCTTTACATAGTTCTGCTGGTGGACTTCATTATCTTTAACAAAGATTTGTGTGTGCGCCTGTGTGTTTTCCTTGAGTTATTGTGGAAGTTACAATAAGGGGTTCTTGATTTTTCAGTTGAAAAGCTGTGGACATCAATATTCAACCATTCGAATTTCACACTCCCTGGTATGGCATTTTTCTAATTATAGTCGTTTCCATATGAACATATCTGTATATATATGTGTGTGTCTGTGTATTTCTGAGTTCTTTACCGTTCTGCTTGACAAAGTTCTGCTGGTGGGCTTCATTATCTTTAACAAAGATTTTTGTGTGTGTGTGTGTTTTCCTTGAGTTATTGTGGAAGTTACAATAAGGGGTTCTTGATTTTTCAGTTGAAAAAATAGCATAAGAAGTGCCAACAAAAGCAAAAGAAAGAAAAATAACGTGAATCGCCAGACTTGACGTCCAAATGTAAAGAGGAACAATCCACTAACCTAACCGTCAAATTACAAACCCTTTTCGCTCCGACAACCTCTCTCTGGTGCTCTATCTTGAGCCTTGATCACTCAAATGATAGTGAAATGTAGGGGTGTCAACGAGTTGAGTCGAGTTGAGCCACGAGCCGAAACTTGAAGCTCAGGCTCGGCTCGAGCAAAAATGGTTCGGGCTTTTTTTGGCCTGAACCGAGCAAAAAATGGTTCGGGCTTTTTTTCGGCCAGAAAACGAAAGCTCAACTGGAGCTTTCAGATCAGGCCTTAGCGGGTGAGCCGGGCTCGTCCCGAGCTGGCTCCTTTTTTTTCGTGATAAATCTAATTTTTTTGTAAGAACTTAAAATGTGTGCAATTTATATAGGCGTCAATTTAAAATCTATTTTTAAATTTTTTTTTAATAAAGCTCAGCTCGACAGACCGAAATGATTAGTGACACGGGCCCATGGGATGGCTCGGCTCTAGCCGATGCCCCAAAATGGGGCTCAGCTTGAGCCTCGACGGTCCCAAGCACTAGCCGACTCGGCTCGAACTTTTCCCGGACCGAGCCACAGGCCGACAGAGCCAACGAGCCTTTTTGACATTCCTAGTGAAATGTCATAAAATGCTTAGTCTCCCTTGGCGTTTCATTATCTTGCTTTCCAGTATTTACGTCTTCTCCTAGAGTTCCCTTTCCCAATTTTTTTCTTATCAATTCCTTCTTTATTTAAATAAGAAATATCAAAAAATTTAATTTGAGTCAAAAGAAATTACTCCATTGATTATAAACTACATGGTACAATTTTATAATTGGGGAATTTGCAACAAAAGTCCTAAACCATTCAAAAATATGTCGTCAAGTCCCTTACGAGAGTGAAAAGGAAAAGATAAAAATGAAAATTGCAGTGAAGAGGACCAAAATTCACACAAAGAACAAAATTAAAAGGTTCAATAAAAAATAAAATATGCAACATTACCCATTAGAAATACCACCAAACTTGCTCGAATCACCACGGACAATAAAATCATCAAGTTTGCAACTAACTCCATCTGAGTGTAGAATCCAAGCACTACTTATCTGCAGGATTACCTTGGGTACCAAATCTTCTTGAATCATGAGCAACAAACCAAATTTGCTCGAATCACGAGCAACAAAAATCATAAATAATTTAATAATCACCAAACAGAGCAAAAACAAACCATGTAACAGAATCATCGCGGCTAAATGCTTCAATAGAAGGATTTTGGTTAGAATCAACACTTTCAATCACATTTAAAGCATAAACAACTAAATCAGCATCTCGTACCTATGTGGAGGCCTAATATCACAAATGGGACTATCTCTAGAAATAAATACAATGGCACCGCTGGTAATGGTGACGAAGTGAAATCATTTATAACTTCTGAATTTGATCGAAACACATTCTTCAATATAGACCTCAAACTAAACTCCGACAATACTGAACAAACTCCAAATCCACCTGAGTTCCTAGTTTTTGCTGATTGTTCTCAAAGATTCTGTAGAACCATGCAAGACATATAATTGGGACATTTTATGTCTCTTCCCGTCCTTACATTGCTTCTTCTCTAGAATCCAAACAAAAAATTCAGTCATAATAAAAAATCTTATTGCGATCCAAAAGTGGACTATCAAACTTCATACTTTCCATATCGAAAATCAAACATTGATCTCAGTTGATCAAACCTTGTTCGAATATGAAACCAAACTAGCTTTCCCAAGAACTACCAAACCTTGACTCTGATACCATTTGTTAAAAAATTGATACACGCTTTGATACCACTTGTTAAAAAAAAAAAAAGAGCCAATTATTAAAGACATGATAATGGGCAAAATGAAAATAACAATCACAAGAACACGTGATTTACTTGAAAATCCAAGACGGGAAAAATCACGGACAGATGCGAAGAATACACTATATCAAAAGTAAGGATTACAATATGTCTTATCTCAACTAACATGTTGGATAACCAAAATATGTGTTGTACATCACATATATATAATACTAGAAATCCCTAACACATTAGGAGAATATAATATAATGAAGAGTCTATTATGTAATGGAGATCAACTATAATAAGTCTAAACTATAATGGAGTGTTTGAGATAAAATAGGATTCAAAAAATTGCAAAAAAATCTCGAACTGTGTAAAACTAGGATAAGATCGTTGCTCGAGCAGTGGTCTTGTGGCGGTCAAGCAGTAGCCAGTCGCTTGAGCGGTCGTCGACGATAATCGAGCGTTGAAGCTCTGCTTCCTATCTCCTTGCACGATTTCTTCCTCTTTTATTGCAAACTGGACTCCTTTTATGTCTTCTTCAAATCCAACACAAATCACCAACTCCCAGTTGAACTCCCAAACTAAATTCCCAAATAGACTTCAAATAGAATTCTCAAAAAATCATTCAAATAAAATTCGGGTTACACCCTTATTCCATCAGATGGCATCATTTACAAAGTATTGAGGAATAACATGTATGACATCACTTTGAGACTTCAACATATCTATCCAGTCCATCCTAGTTCATCCTAAAACAATCATCAACAACACATACAAAGTATTTATGACCTCACGTAACAAAGTATGGAAGGGTCCGCAAACATCAATATTAATGCAAGTAAAAGGAAATGAAAGTTTATTAACAATAATTTTGAAAGGCAGCTGACCGTAGAGTAGAAGTAGAAATGTTTTGAAACAATCTAGGAAATAGACATTCTAAGTAAGAAAAAGATGGATGGCCTAAATGGCAATTTCATAGCACAATTTTCTCCCTAGCAAGTATTTCACCACACTACTTGAAATCCTCTACCACATCCTGATTGCAATTCACTTGCCCCTTCAAACAGTAAAGACCTCCCTTTTATCTACCAATGCTAATCGTCAACTTCGTTACATTGTCCTGAAACATACAATGGGTAGAGTAAAATGCTACAGAACAATTAAGATGTTTGGTGATTTTGTTTATAGATAGATGGCCATAAGAGGGAATAGTTACAAATAAAATGGAAGTTGTAGAGAGAGTCAGACACTTTCAGCCCATGAAATTTAACATAGGAGTCCCATTAGCAACTTGAACAAATTAGAGCCTGTTTGACAATCATTAACTTATTTTATGATTTGCTACAAGACCATTTTCAACAACATATTCACACAATAAAATATTTTACACGTATACCAACAATTTTCCCTACTTTTTAATCGCTAATTCTCCTAAAAATCACTATTAAAAACTCTTTTTTTTTTTTTTACAATAATGGTTGTCAAACAGGCTTTTAACACGTGAGCATATAAGTGATTCAAGGATGAGTTACTAATCATATGGTCATTGGCCTCGGAATCAATAACCCGAGTGTTAGCGGTAGCAAAAATAAGACCTGAACCAGGATTACTTCTATGAGGTGATACTGGAGAAACACGAGAAGCATAAGACGGGGAGGTGTCAGTTGCCTTAGTAAATATTTTTCCCAACTAAGGTTCTTAGTTTCATCTACCACAATGAACAAAATCGAACAGTGCCAAAAATAACTGGTGAACATTTAAAAATAGTTGGTGAACAGTGATGATAACGGTAACTGTGGTCGCAAAAATTGAATGCTCAACAAACAATCCGATTTGAGGAAAGAGTAGGTTCTGATACCAAATTGAGAGTTGATAGATTGGCCGATTTATCAACTTAATCATATTTATACAATACACAAATCTTATCGAAGATAAAACTCTAATCCTATTACCATGTCAATTCCTAACTAAATAAGGAACATTGTTCACACAAAAACCTATGCATTCTAATTCTTATTTTAGTTTTGTAACCTTCGCTAGCCTACCAGTTAGCAAATGAATTTCCATCTCTAGCAATGAAAAAAATTGATCTACGGCAATGCTACACATCCTTCGTCTCTCCTCAACGTTCCCATTAGATGAATATCAACTTTCACTGCCATCGAAAACGCACAAGAGGATAAGATAAAGACAGCGACTTAAGTGTTTCACCACCACTACGCCACATGGATGAAAGTTGAACTTGTGCAACATTTGTATGGCCACATGGATGAAAGGTGACCTTCAAATGAATGGTGACACCACCTTTGTTACAATTAAAAGTTCTATAAAAATATATGAATCAATAATAGTCCCTGTTGGGTTTAGTTAAAAATATAGATAAAAGTCTAATTAAATTCTACAATTAATTTTAACCATACATTTTATATGCCCCACAACTTTTATCAACTTTTCAGCCACATTTATTAATCAACTTTTATAAAAGTTTACAAAATCTGATTTTTAGTCTTCTATGGAAAAATATAACCCAGTAACTTCTTGGATTTATTTCATATTTTTTCATGTTCGAATTTGAATTTGTTTCAGGTTTGTATACTCAGGTTTTTGTGGGTTATGGCTGGTTTTTTCACGTGGAAGACATTCGATTTTAGAGTTCTCTCGACTCTCGTGAAAATTTTTCTATTGTTGATTGTGAGAGGATCTCTTACCTACTCGGTTCAAAGTGATGTTGACTGCCTCAGAGCTATAAAAGATTCTTTGGAAGACCAGAACGGCTACCTCACAACATGGAACTTCGATAACAAGACTGAAGGTTTTATATGTTCTTTTATTGGAATCGATTGTTGGCATCCAGACGAGAACAAGGTCTTGAATATAAAGCTTGGGGATATGGAACTTAAGGGCGAGTTTCCTCTTGGCGTTGCAGGTTGTTCATCCTTGACAGGTTTAGATCTTTCTAATAACAAGATTTATGGAAATATTCCTAGGAATATCTCTAAGTTACTTGAATATGTGACAAGCCTTGATCTCTCGTCCAACCAGTTATCCGGAGAGATTCCTGTCGATCTTGCAAATTGCACTTATTTGAATATCCTTGAACTTGACAACAACCACTTGTCAGGCCAAATCCCTGCTCAGATTAGTCTACTCAATCGATTGACGATTTTTAACGTGGCTAACAACCGATTGACTGGCCAAGTTCCACAATTCAGTAATGCTACTGTTCCGCCAGATAACTATGTGAATAATGCAGGACTATGTGGCAAACCTTTACCCCCTTGCAGAGTTTCTTCAAAGAAAACTAATAGTGCAGCCATTGTTGGGGCGACTTCTGCAGCCTTCGCTGTTGGAATTGGCATTGGCGTAGGCATGTTCTTCTATTTGGGTAAGGCGTCCAGAAAGAAGAAGGAAGAAGATCCTATGGGCAACAAATGGGCAAAGAGAATCAAGGATGCCAAAGCCATCAAGGCAAGATACATTTACATTTTATTGGAAAAAATTCTCTCTCAATAATGTTGTTGGTAGAGATTAGATTTTTGTCTAAGTTAAAATATTTTTATAAGATTCATAATTTTTCAACACCACATTTCATCAATTTTTATATCTACAAAAAAATCTGATTTTTATCCCAACCAAAAATAAAGCATGTGGATCCCAACAATTTTTCTGGTCTACAGATCCCTAAACTTTCATATTTGTTGTGCATTAGTCCTACATGATGAAAAATGTCAATTTTCTGTCAAATAGTCACATGCTTGCATATTCAAGTGTTATTTTTGTCAGCCAACTCCAATTTACTCGATAACAATCAAAAAGGGCAAAAAGGCCAAATGTTAGCACTCGTTTTCTTTTCTTTTTTTAAACTATTTGGAAGAAACGAATTGGGTTGACAAAAATTACCCTTAAATATGTTATCACGAGCAAAGTTTGTGACTGTTTGATGGAACAATTGGCAGTTTCATCCCGTGGACCATTGTGCACCAAATATCAAAGTTTAGGCTGAGTGCTTTATTTGTCAAAATTTGAGGACGGGGGCTTCAATTCCCCTAAATTATTTTGTTGAACTTTATACTTTTGGTGTCATTATATTTTCCTTACAAGGAATTACAAATAGTCATATTTCCTGATTTCAGCTTTCGATGTTTGAGAACTCGGTTTCTGAAATGAAATTGAGCGATCTCATGAAGGCGACTAATGATTTCAGTAAAGAGAATATAATTGGGTTAGGAAGAACTGGGACAATGTACAAGGCAGTACTTAAAGATGGCTCATGCCTCATCGTGAAGAGATTGCAGGGTACTCGATACTCAAACAGCGAATTTTCGTCTGAGATGGCTACACTAGCTAATGTAAAACACAACAACTTGGTTCCACTTCTAGGATTCTGCATGACTAATGAGGAGAGACTTGTAGTCTACAGGCACATGTCCAATGGCAGCCTCCATGATAAACTACACTTGAAAGACGGGACCGAACCTATGGATTGGCCTTTAAGGCTCAAAATTGGAATTGGGGCAGCAAAAGGACTCGCGTGGCTACACCACAGCTGCAATCCACATATTATTCATCGAAACATAAGTTCCAACTGCATCTTACTGCATGATAATTATGAACCTAAAATATTAGATTCAGGAATTGCTAGTCTCGTGAATCCCATTGTATCTCATTTAGGTACTTGTGTAAATGGTGAATTTGGGGACAGGGGCTATGTTGCTCCAGAATATGTAAGAACATTGCTGGCCACTCCAAAAGGGGACGTATACAGTTTTGGGGTAGTGCTTCTCGAGTTAGTAACAGGCGAGAGACCGACCAATGTGGCTAAAGCCCCCGAAAGATTGAACGGCAATATAGTGGCCTGGATTTTTCATCTCTCTGGAACCTATAAACTTCAGGATGCAATTGATCAATTCTTGGTTGGAAAAGGTTATGATAATGAGCTTTTCGAGGTTCTTAATGTTGCCTGTAGTTGTGTGCTGACAGATCCTAAAGAGAGGCCTTCCATGTCTGAAGTGTACCAGTTTTTGAGAGCTATTGGACAAAAGTATAATTTCGCAGCAGAAGATGACATCTTGTTGCCATCCAACAGTGGTGATGACGATCAACTTGTCGAACTTATCATTGCTCAACATCCGGAGGAGATTGATGTTAAAATGTAAGTGACATATACTGATGAGTGAATCATAATCCCTTCATAATTATCTGTTGCACGATAGAAAATTGTTCGCTAAAATCCACAAGTGTATGGGATCTAAGTAATGATGTAGTGTGCAAAAGTATCGTCTTATAGGGAATAATCTTTAAATTGAATTGGACTAGTCCGTTATAAAATTCAAATGCATGTACACAAAATAGATGTGCTTTGATTATTTCTAAATTATTCTACTAATTATTTGAAGATGTTTATGAAGTGTGAGAATTATTATCCTATTTTCAATTCTCGCCCTATGTAATTTTTGTTATTTATGCATACATGACAATCGATAATTCATTTTTATCTAATTCTCTCTTTCAAGGTAAATTAAACATAATCCAAGCATGACCCAATCATATTTCTAACCCGAATTTATATGCAAAGTAATGCATTAATTACACGATTATCTATATGATTGCACGTGTCCTGCATATTATTTCAAACACTTATTGCCCCATGTTAATTTGGCAAAGTTCCAAACTTACTATGAACTTCCCGAAAACATAACATACAACTAATTATTTAATTGGTGATCAAGCAATTAAATAACTCAACAAAGAACACAAGATTATTCAAAAACACGAATGAACTAAGCTACTTTATCTTTGAATTAAAATAATTAACAAAAAGTTTCATTTTCATCCAACACAAAAAGCCTAACATGATTCTAATGATAAAACAACAAAAAGGTTGAAAAATATCACTCAAAATGTATATGAATACAAGAAATATATTGGATCTATTTTTTGTTCTCGATCTTCAATTCCAAGTTTTAGTTCTTCAAGTTGTGGACGTTTCTTCATTCAATTCGCTTGCTAAACTTGTTTCTCTCCAATTTGTTGCGAATCGACCATTCTTTCTTGTAAGATTTTATGATATTAATTGATACGAGAGAGGAATGAGAGGTGTCTTCAATGCCTGCCTTAGTTCTATAATTAAATAGCTTGAAATTAGGTCAAGATCGCATCTAATTTGATTTACAAAAGAGTTTTAATCAAATTTAAAAAAAGCTACTCTAGTTTGCCAAATTTACTATCGTGTGATCACATGGTAAAACACCTTGCGGTCGCATGGTTCATCAATTTTGCTTTGGGTTATCTAATTTTTTGGGGTCGCGATCGCAAAGGATTTACTCCATGCAATCGCTTGGAGTAAAATCTTCTGGGATCATGCAATTTGGTCTCAACTTTCTTACTTTGTTCAATTGAAGTCTTTTCTTCATGAATTCTTTCATCATTCATTTATATCCAATTGATTCCATGTACTATTCAATCATCGTTCTTTGGTCCGAATCAACTTTTAGATATTTGCAATTTAATCCCTGAACTTTAAAAATCATCATTTTCGTTCATTTCTTCAAAATTTACCTTCAATTATTGAGTTTTACCTAACAAACAACTATACAAGAGATTAAGTTATAATTAATCAAAACTACTTCCAAATAGAAATTCGAGGCTGCGACTAATGATTCTGAGGCTCTAGGAGTAAATTTTATTCTCGAAGCAACAAGTGGTCATCCAAAATAAAGCAACATAGGATAAACTAATCAAGTTTTAAAGGTGGATGATTAAACATAATCATCAGTTAAAAGTAATACCAACCTAAATATGCACGAAATCTATTATTCTATCATGTGAACCAAGCATAGAGTTCCAATAAATGGCTCCATACTTACAGTACTAAAGAATATGGTGATTATTATACAATCCATAGTACAGACTACAGAGTTGCAAAGAAAATAAAAGAACAACTTTCCTTTTGTCTTCAACTTATTTTCTTCCTCATTAATGATATTCAAAATCCAAGAAAAGACTCTCTCATGAAGAACACACAAGGGAAATCAGTTTTCTATGTTTCTGTTACTCTTCCTTTTGCTTCACAGAATTGAAAACTAAAATGCACCAAACGGATGGCACATAATTGATTTTCACTCAAGAGCCGATCCAGTTGGAGTCCTAACATAGGAAAATACTTTTCTATTTTCAATCAGATATCGTGTTCCTTTACATAGAAACAAAATTCAATAAATCAAAAACCCCCAGTTAAGATTTCGTTCGTTTACTCCTATGTTCCCTGTTGATCCTAATTAAAGATGGGATCGACACCGCAAAAGTAAAATAATACAGTAATTCTCCCCTCTTCCGGTGCAGGGCTTTAACAATCCATGCATAAGCATCAGATCTATTATAGAATTCAAGGGATCGATAAACCTCTAAAAAAGGAATTTTATTCCTTCTCAAAATATAGAAATCCACAAATTATTGCACATTAGAGTCATTCTCTACTGAATAAAAATGGAGAAAAACACATTCTTGAAAAGAGACGAGAGAGAAATTAAGGTACACGAACCAATTACTTGTAATTTCTTCTGCAAATCTGCTTCTTCTATGAAATATACGATCTTGAAATTTTTTCTCGTTTTGTGAATTTTTCACCTAGGTTAAAAACGGATTATTTTGAGTAAGTGGGTGGGTTTTGGACAGGTCCTGGGGGGCAAGTTTTGGACTGGTTCAGAGACCCCTATAAATCATGAGGCCCAGGCCCAAGGCGACAGCCTAGTTCACTTGAAATGGAGCCTACAAATATCCATAGTCTAAATAAGTGTATCAAATAAATATATCAAATTTAGTTAAGAAATGGAAACTGTATAGTACTTTACAATTTTCGAAATTCATAATTCACATTCATGGTATTGTATATTTGTTATTTGATGATTTATGTCTAGTATATTTGTTATTTATGGTTTAACACCGTCTTTCTATGAAAGTGTCCTTGCTCGTGAATGAGTTTGAGCTCGATCTTATGTTTTAGATGATACAGATGGAGATGTAAATGTAAATGGAGTGGACGATCAACCTCAGTTGCAAGACCTTGAAGATCTATCAACTAAAAATGCCAACGACGGATGCGATACGAGTATTGATGGTGCTAGCAAGGGTAGAAGCATGTTATTTGCAACAATTGCATACACAGTGACTATGGTTGGGGATGCGTTATGAGAAGACTAATGGAGATTTAATTTTGAATTTTTATGGTGATAGTTTATGTTATACAGATTCTTTTAAAGATTTAAAAACCATAAACCTCGTGGCAATATTGACATGATCATGGTTTATAAGTGCACTGTATTTTAGTTGCACTAAAAGTTCGTAGTCTTTCTTTATTATCACATTCTTATTTTAAACATTTCCTTAATATGTACTTATTAATGAAAGTTTAATGGTAAGAACACTATAAAAAACAGTTGAGAACATACATGTGTCAATTTAATTTTAGTTTTGTTAATAAATAATTAAATAATAACATTAATTTAATTTATTCAACACGAAACTAAAAAATTCCTTTTCTTTTCCATTTGTCAATAATTTTCTAAATTGATCTTTTCAATGTTATATTAATTTTTATTATTAGATTTTCTTATAAAAATATAACTTAAGTTTCTTTCCTCGGTTGAATTAATTAGTTTAAAAAAATAACATTCATATTCTCTTATTTAAATGGTTGTTTCATTTGATTGCTTCATACATATCCTAACAACTAAATAATATATTTAATGTAATAAAATTAATGCATACAGAATGTTACTATATAATTTGATAAAATTTTATTTTATGTTATATTTATCATTATTTAAAAGTTGTTTTGACGGGTAGTTACATATGAATCCCCATAATACGTAAGTTCAAATAAAAATGGAATACCAATTGTATGGTAATTATATTCCTACTAAGATTTTTATTAAATACAAAATATTATCGTTTATGATCTTTGCTCATTTTCACGCTTAAGTCCTCAATTATTTTTCGATATATTCTTATCATTATATGAAACTAAATAAATTATTATAATACTATAATGTGCGTTGAAATCTTAAACCATCCACACACGACATTAACAGATTAAAAATTCCAATATACAGAGAGAACACACAATGAAGGAACACGTGTCGGACACGGACACACTACCGTAATTGAAGTGTCCGTGCTACAGAGATGTCTACTAAAGAAATGATCATATAATAAAAAAAGAATGAAACCAATAATTTCTTGAAATACTTGAAGCAGACAATGCATCAATAAATTATAGCTAAGAAGGAACCCCAACTGAAGAAAAAATCCAGAAATCAGAACGGAAAAATGACAGGTGCCAACAGCCAAACGTAGTCCATTTTTGTTGAAGCTACCATGATTTCGTTGATTCTCCCCCATTCGTCTTTGGTGAATGTAGAACATTGTATAAACAACCCTTACAGAATCTAATATGAAACAACTAAATAAACCTATACAGACAAAAACAACTAAAGCGGCAGGTGAATGTAGCTTAATGATGGTCAAACAAATTTGGATTTCTTGTACTAATTGCAACTTATTATCATACATCTATAAGTTAATGACTACTAGCACGTACTTTTAAGTTAATCTCACAAGGCAGCCACTAGCAATCTTTGGTGTTCAAACAAAAATGAAGACTGCAATTTAGGTAATTGGTCAATCTCCAAAATAGAATTTGAAATTTGTCTCCCAATATTCAATACTTCTTCCGGAACAAGTTTAACACTATAATCCCTTTAACTAGTGAATCTAGTTTTGATTGTATTCTTCTTGATTAGGATGAACGTGAATTCACTCAAATGCTTGAAAAATTCCTTGAAAATTTTATGTTATTGCCACTTTATATTTTTGTATTTAGTCATGACAGGCGTCAATCAACTCATACTGATTCATAGACACATAATTAAGCATGGAATCCCACCTTAAAATATTCTTAAAATTGGCTAAAACTCTATAAATTCTCATTAATCTCCGACGCAAATAGAAATCAATAAAGTAATGAGAAAGACAAAGAAGAATACTATAAGCACATGAGAAACAACCATGACAATACATAGGAAATTGTATACAGAAAAAACAAAATAGGCCGTATTGGTGAGGAAAAATGGTCAAGCCAATACATTTAATCTAAAAT